GGTAATGCGCCCTGGTCTGATATTAGGTACGCTGAGACCCAAAAGCTGTACAATCATGCCCCTGGCTTTACAAATCTTGATTGTAATCCTGAAATAAAGCCCTATGATATCAACACAGTCGGCAAAAGCTGATAAAGCTTACGCAGCTATAACTTATTGCATTCTTAAACAAAAAGAATCTCTACAAGAAAGTATTCGGAATTTACTCACTTGGGCTTATTCAGATAACGGAAATTTTGATAATTTAGGTAACAAAATTGAGGAGTTATTTGTTAACGGTGGATTTCATAAAATTTCTAATGATTTATTACAACTGGTATGCGGCCATAGATCCGAAATTGTAGAAGTAAGACGAGATGCTATAATTAAACATGTTAAAGACCCGGCTTTTAAAATATCAATTGGCCAAATTCCCTCATCTGTCTCGCATATTTTTGAAACCAATGCCTTTTCGACGGCAATAGAAAAAGCTGGGGGCATTCGTAAAGTCTTTTGGCCTCTTAAATCTGAAAATGTTCAAAGATGTTTTCGTAAAGCTTCTCTAATAAGAAAAACATTCCGTTAAGTGTAGGGCGATATCCAATCTATGCTTCAGGCTCTTCTAGACCTATGCATAATATTGTGCCACCCTCGAGGGGTGGATACTCTCATATGAACCTAGATAATACAAACGGCAATGGGCACAATAACGGTTCATTTCAATACCGAGGCTCGAGGCCTCGCGGGGCGCATAGAGGTGCAAGAGGATATAAATCGTCCTCTCGTGCCGCTAGAACCAAACATTATGATCAATGACTCGAGGTCATTTCACGCCGGCCAGTTAGCCCATCATTACGATGCGTGGAGGAAAATGGGAGCTCCAGCATTGATCTTAAAAATTATAGAAGGTTATCGCATACCATTTGTCCAAAAACCTCCCTTGTACTTTCCAAACAACAAAAGTCGCTGTTGCACTCGAGTGTCAGGAGAGATGACTGCAATCATTCAGAAAATGAAAGCTCAAGGAATATTAAAACCAGTGCAGCCCAGTCCCAGTTTCATTTCATCTCTTTTCCTTGTACCAAAGAGCGACGGATTGTTCCGCCCAATATTCAATCTGAAAGCATTAAACAAATTCGTGAGAGCAGAAGAATTTCACCTTGTCAATATTCATCGCATTCCCGATTTTCTACAGAGGCAAGATTGGATGTGCAAAATAGACTTGAGTCAAGCTTATTTTCACGTGAAAGTTGCAAAAGCACACAGACGCTTTCTCCGCTTGAATTACAACGGAGAACTCCTAGAAATGACTTGCCTACCATTCGGATTGAGCACAGCTCCCAAAACCTTTTCGATTCTTATCAATTGGGTGGCCGAAATCCTGCGGAAAAGAAATGTACGCATTCTTTCATATTTAGACGATCTTTTAATAGTAAACCAAAATCCTGTTCTTCTTCAAGAACATGTGCATATCACTGTAAATGTGCTTTATACGTTAGGATGGTGTGTCAATCTAGAAAAATCAATAATGGTTCCTCAAAGGAACGTTGTGTATCTCGGAGTCTTGTGGAAACCATGGGACAACTTAAAGTCGCTGCCAAAAGAAAATATTATCAATCTCCGGGAAAAGCTTCTAAAAATGTTGAGTCAAAGGCGGGTAGTCCTAAAAGAAATATGCAGTCTGGTAGGTCTTTTAAATTTTGCCAGTTTCGTTGTACCTCGAGGGCGACTACATCATCGGCAAATGTTGCGATTAATGAATACCCTCTTATGTCAGCCAAAGAAACAAATTATGGTCCCGCCTATGGTCATAGCAGAACTGAAGTGGTGGTTCCAGAATTGCCAAGCATCAACAGTATTGCACCCACCTCCTCCTGCGCACTTTCTAACAACCGATGCATCGGACCTGGCATGGGGTGCTCAGCTCGACAATATTCCCCTGAGCGGACAATGGTCGCCTCAGGAACAAAACCTCCATTGCAACCAAAAGGAGATGTTAGCCATTCTACATGCGATACACAGCCAGATTCAACAAATAAGTCACAGCTCCATTCTAATACAGTGCGACAACAAAACTGTTGTAGCTCATCTCCGAAAGGAGGGGGGAACCAAATCTCCAGCACTGACGGAAATAACCTATCAATTGTTGACACTTCTAGATCAACATCACTATATTCCAGGCAGATTCAACAAGCATGCCGATCACCTATCTCGCCATCGCCTTCCACCGGAATGGCACCTATTACCGGAGAAAATGAAAATAATATTCCAGAAATGGGGGCTTCCAACGATCGACCTCTTTGCTTTGGCGAGAGCCCATGTAGTTTGCAATTATGTGTCTCTGGACCTGAAAGACCCCAATGCTCTCTTTTACGACGCATTCAGTGTAACATGGAACTACCATCTTGCATGGATATTTCCTCCGCCGTTTCTAATACCCAAGGTCTCAATAGTCGCCCCTCGGTGGCAGAAAGTATTTTGGCGAGCGGATCTCAGAGCGAGGGCTCTCGAAGCTCCATTTGTCCTGAGGAACTTGAGCACCAGTTTAATAGACACATCAACAGGTCTGCCACCACCGAACGTCAACGATCTAACCCTCGAAGTTTGGAAATGTGGGGGTGGGGCGAAGAAGTAAAAGAATGGAATAGTAATCAAATCTCTTTTTTAAAAAGTTCTTGGCGTGATTCAACTTTAAAAACATATTCTATAGCATGGAAACGTTGGTTAGCGTGGACAGAAACCAATAATGTTGATGCCCATAGACCCTCAGGCTCTGAATTAGCGCGATTTTTAGCTGATTTACACTTAACTCACGGCTTTTCATACAATACATTCTTTTACATAAATCTGTTGTTTCGTCTCTATGTAATGCGGAAATGTCGAGTCATCTTAGTTCACATGTTCATGTTATAGTTAAACATATTTTAAAATCAATATCTTTAAAAAATCCTAAAAATATAAAACCACCTATTTGGGATATCGACGATCTCTTTAACTTTTTGTGTACATATACATTGGATAAAACCAATATCTATCAAATATCTCGTCATACAGCTATACTTTTACTCCTATGCTCAGGACGTCGTATCCACGATTTGACTTTACTTAGAGTAGACCCTGACCACTGCATCGAATCCGAAGATTCTTTTATCTTATGGCCAGCTTTCGGTTCAAAAACTGATAATAGTAACCATGTGCAATCGGGTTGGAAATTATTAACAAACAAAGATAATGTGCGGTTGAACCCAGTTCTTTGGATCAATACAACGATAGCACTACTGAAAAATCGACGCGAAACAGCGAAATCCAGTAATCTGTTTGTAACTGTTAGAGGTCCTGCAAAACCTGCCTCTCGAACTGATATAGCAGGTTGGATAAAGCACCTGTTGAAAGATGCAAATATACAGTTTAGCCCGGGTAGTGTCAGGTCAGCAGTGGCCTCAAAAAATTGGCTAACCTATCCTCTGGATGAAATCCTAGCTCGTGGTAACTGGCGTTCCACAAACACATTTCAAAAATATTACAGACGCGAAATACGTTCGGATAGACAATCAAATAACGTTACCAATTTATTTACCCCTGTGATCTAAGGCAATCATATGCTATTTTACAAATTTCAATTACTTCATGAATAAAACACAGAAATGCTGTAGTAAATGATTAAAATTATCGTCCTTAATTATTGTTAAAATTATTTTGTATGAACAAATATAATAAAGCATTAAAAATATTATCACATTGGCGTTATGTTTATTAATATCCTTCCATTGACTCACCAGGCGATAACAAACAGATCTCAATTATAAGCTTCGAATAACGGTCAAGTACTTTTAATAGCAGCGTTTTTCCTGAAATAAAAACGCATATTAAAATACTTACCTTATTCGAAGCTTATTTTTTAACTCTGCCTGGTTACTAAAAAGCCAATGAACAAGGTGCTGCGTTTTCACTTACAAGAAAACTAAGATGGCGCCACTGCCCGCCGAGTCAACGGAAGTTTGTCAACCGGAAGTGAAAAAGAGGACAGAAATCTCAATTATGCTTCGAATAAGGTAAGTATTTTAATATGCGTTTTTATTTCAGGAAAAACGCTGCTATTATGAGTGTGAGTATTTTGCGACGAAGCTCTGGTTAATTTTCTATGTAATCGGTATATTTGCTGTGCAATCAGTTGATATGCTGTGCAATCAGTATATTTGATATGAAAATCATATTTCTGTACAATTAAACAAGTATTTTTTTACTACAGATTAGATGTATTATTTTGAATTATTTTCAGCACTAGTTTTGTTCATCAAATGTTTTGTTTGCAGTAAAATAATTATTTTGATGTAAAAAGTTTTTAATTGCTGTAAATAACTTGATGGGTAATAAGTTATTAGCTGTGCATTTAAAAATATCCCAAAGAAATGCTGTTATATTTTGCAAACAAATTATGCTAATAATTTTCGATGTCAAATAAAACGTATTTAGGAGGCATATATAGGTCAGATATAATAATGTACTCTGTGATATAAGTCTTTCGTTATAGATACTCCAAGGCAATAAAAGACTTTGTCAAAAGGTTGCGCTATTATTTCAGTGATCATGACACTTGCAACAGTGACGTAATATCGGAAACTTGCTAAAACAATCCTGTAAATAACATAAATAACTATAATGTTAGTGACCATGAAAGTTTAAAACAATATTAAATATATAATTTTATGTTTTAATACCATACTACACTAATAATTTGAATAACACAGTTATTAATATTCTATTAACTGTATAGTTTCTGAGCAGAAACTCTTAAATAGACAGCAATAAAAACATTACGTAGCACTACAAAATTATATCATTGTACAGAGAAAAATCAGTGAATTGGAATGAGTTGATATTATGAACTCAGTTTTTTATTCGCAAAATCTATTAATGTGTATTCATCAAATAATTGTGTGTTGTAATTAATGTCACATTACAAAAACATTTATGAGATTTTTAGACAAAAACTGGCAATTTGTATTATCAACTACAATTGACTGGGTTTTGCTGTACAACAATGATACAGAACTTAATATATTATTTCTTCAAATACTTTAAATATTTCTTGGCATTGAAGTTATCTTCTAAATCATCAGTTATCTTCACTTTTTTCTTTGGTTTTCTCTTTTCTAGCCTAATTTTCCTTTCATCTTCAGATAGGAGAGATAAATCCAGGGGTAGCTGAAATCAACAGAATAAATATATTGCTGGTGTCAATAGCAAATCGAGGCAAAGGGCATGATTCTGGCATTTTAGGGATGATTCTCAAAACCTTAAGTGTCTCACAAACAGATGCGGCAAGTTGTATTTGATTGCAATGATAGCGAGTGGTCAAACACCAAAGGGACGGGTAGCGGCCGCAGACTGCCTATGCCTGTGAGACCCATTAAACTTTTGAAAAGTCCCTCCTTCATTCTGTATAGAGCCTGACAGGGATACATTGTTGACAAAATTTTATTATAGGTTTAGAGCCCAAGGACTAAGTTTTTTTAATGTTATGTCACTGCGACTCTTCACTACGTGACGATTCTGCCAAACAAACAGAGCCTTTCAATATTGTGGTCCAAACTGGATACTTAAGCAAACGCTTTCTGTAAACTTCGTACAATATTACGCTTCTTAAGTTTTGACAGGTGTAATGTACCCTACATTCCTACCTTAATTATCTTTCTGGGCTCATGATATCTGATGTCAATTGAAGAACCATCGGCGAGTACTACTTTTGTTGGATATTGTCGTGTATAGAGTTCCCTATGTATTTTGGTAACACTGGCTATATTGTTGTTTAAATAACGTTTGAAATAATTATTTAGGATACAGCAATGAATGGATTTTAACAATTCTGTATGAAATTTCATTTTGCAGGTTAGTCCAAAAATTGTACACAGCCAGATGCAGATGACAGATTAAAAATAAATTAAGGCCGCTGCATACGTGACGAGTTTTTATCCGGACGGGACGGGACGGGAAGTTTTGGAAACATCGTTTCATACACAATGTATCCAAAAACGCATATGTCACGGGTACATGGACGGGGCGGGAACTTGGACGGGAAAAATATCGTCGCGGACTATGTTTAGAACGTCCCCGTCCCGTCACGCCCTGCGCGTGCCCCGTCCCGCTCGTGGTTCCGCTGCGTATGCATAGCACATTCGCTTTGTTCTGCTCATTCCGAACAGATCTGTAATGACGCGTTGACCCAAGAATATAAAATTACATTTCCAATCATTATAAAATCAACACTAGCACTTTTGATCCGAATCACTGTCACGGTGCGTATGCGTTTGCACCGCGTTCCCGTTTTGAACGAGATAATCACGTGCCCGTCCCGCTCACGTCCCGTCCGAAGTGTTTACTCGTCACGTATGCAGCGGCCTTTACTCTTTGGCAAGCAAGGTTGAACTTATGAGTGATTGTAGCTAAAAGAGTCAGAGGAATCTGTCTCTTTGTAGTAGGATATCCATACAGTACCATTAATGATGAGATCATTTATTTTCTAACTCGACTTGAAAGTCCCAAAAACGTTAAAATCTCTATACGCCCTTCCGAGCTGATAAATATGTCGCTATATACAAAGCGGTTACGGCTACCCCACACGGAGGGAAAGTATATTAAATATTGAAGATACGATATTTTACTGAAACAAGACATCATTTCATTTTTAATAAAAACTAAGTAAGTAACCCTTTCGATTGTTATCTTAAAATATGTAAATTTTTTTTTCGAAATTTCACGAATTTGATTGTAGTTAGTTGTAGCAGAAGATTTAAAAAAAAAATCGAATGCAGTTCTAATTATTTATAAAAAATAAAACGATATCTTCTTTTCGCAAAATATCCTATCTTCAATATTTAATATACTTTCCCTCCGTGTGAGGTAGCCGTGGGACTGTATATTGCGTCTGTTTTTTTACATAAAGCATATACCAATGGAGATGGCATCAGTGTTGCCAACTCGGATTTTGAAAAAGGCGTAGGGTACGGCCACAGTCCACGCAGATTCACAATCAGATTTAGACTCAGAAAACAAGCTCGAGAAATAAACAGTGTAGTTTATGCAGGGTGGCCATAGTGGCAGCAGGCAATCTGCTTAAACTACACTGTTTATTTCTCGCGCTTGTTTTCTGAGTCTGAAGCTGAGTGCACTGTGGCCGTACCCGTAGGCCCGATGAGAAAATTACGGTGAGTTAGTAAAAGAAGAATGGCAAGAATGGTATCCATTTTTTTGAAAGCGTAGGATGTTGACATTTTCACATTATATACGTAAGACCATTTAACACATATTTAACCTAATACTGTTATTTTAAGACATGGGAGAAAAAAGAAAAATGAAATCAACCTATTTGATAACGAAACGCGTTTTTAGTAAGAGTAATTTGAATTTAATTTTGAAAATAGTTATATTAATATTTTCTAAATTTATTATACACAGAATGTTTGAATAGTGCATCAATTACCTACTGCAGTCATATTTCCTAGTTGCAAGCACATTAAAAAACGCACCATCACAATAACACTTCACTCAACTGTCATCAACACCATTTTGCTTTTATTAACATTATGGAAGGAATCAGGGGAACCATGGAAGCATTGGCAGACTTGGTTCAATCTCGAATGGCCCTGTTTGAGGATGAGCTGAGGAAAGTTCCGTCATCAAGAGTTGAGACTGTCACAACCTTGTCTGCAGATTTTAATGCATTTCGAACATTTATAATGACATCTCTAGCTGCTCTTCAAAAGCAAGTCGATATGTTGGCAGTGCAATGTGACAACTTGGAGATGAAAAACAGGAAAAAAATGCTTCTGTTACATGGTGTCATTGAGCTGCCTGACGAAGATGCATCTAAAGTAGCAGCAGATACTGTTCGCCAACATCTTTTGGACCATATTCAGCAGGAAGACTTGACTCAAGCTCATCGTATGGGAGTATTTTCATCAGTACGGCGTCGGCCAATACTCATCAAGTTCAGGAGCTATGAGGATCGCAACGAAGCATGGGCTGCTAAAGTTGGGCTTAAGGGATCTGGCATAACCCTGTCTGAATTCCTAACCAAGCGTCGACACAAACTCTTCTTGGAATGTCGTGACAGGCTCGGAGTTTCTAATTGTTGGACTAACGGAGGTCGCATCAAGGTACTGGCAGACAACAAACGATATTCAATAACTTGTCACGCTGACTTGGAAAAGGTTGCTGCTTCCCAAAAGGCACGGTGTAAGACTACTAAGGAGGTATCATCTGCTGATCCACCTAGCGGCGGTGTTGGCACACCAACCTCGCCTCTTCAGAACGTCAAGCCGACGAGCTCTGAAGCATTGCCATCTGCTAATCCATCTAGTGGTGGTGCTAGCACACCTGTCTCGCCCCTCGTCAAGCAGATGTGTTCCAGACGCCAGAGGACGGCGGCTCTCCCAAGAAGAAAGTGAGTGAATCACATCATTATAATTACTTTATTGCGCTAGTAGTCTATTTAAGCTTTCTTTCATTCAATGAGTAGTTATAGCAGATTAATGTGGTGGTGTAGTGGCAGTTCTTGTTCTTGGACTCAGCTGCATGTTGTCGAACTACTGTAGGGAAATTTATTCTGTCATGATTTTATTTATCTATAAGGTAGCTGGTCGTGTTTCCTTTCTTTTTTTTTGTTTTACACTTTTGTAGGTAGACTAAACTCAATCACTACGTAAACGTAAAAAAAACATTAGATTTTTGTTGCTTTTTGTATGACATTGACAGCTTCGCTGCAGCGGAACTGGGTTGCGTTCCAAGTCACAATTTTACACTCCGACGTTACAATTGACATAAATGCATTGTGAATTTATGAAAGATATGTCAAATTTGTCATTTGTTGCACACGTTGAGTGGTATGGTACGTAGCCTAAACCATAGACTAGAAACTTTTATTGTTATAAATTTGTTTAAAACAAAGGCATAAGATGTTAAATTCATACAGCCTTGTCTGAGTCTTTTTTTTTTTTTTTTTTTATTTATTTATTGTTATTATTGCTTTTGTAACATTTGAATTTGGAATGTAACGTTTTTTTTTAATCTTAAAACTTTTTTAATATACATATATAAAATTTTATGCAATGTCAAATTCCTAAAAATACTTTGTTGAGTCTGTTAATTCTGACGCCGCACAGGTCTGCTGTTAATTGCTTATTAATATTTATATTAAAAATTTTAATAATTGCATTATCTGCTTTGTAGTCGCTAGATATTATTAGCTTTTAGATTTTAGCTTTTTTTTTTGTTCTGCTTAGCTTAGTTTGTATTTGACATTGACTGCCTATGGGTAATTGAAATGTATGCCAATTGAATAGTATATTCTTTGTTGTTGTTTTAATTATCTATGTACAATGAATATTTCCATTAATTCTGATATATTTCATTCTTGCTCTTCTCAATCCAGTCTTGAGGATAGCCTTCATAGTGATGAGTCTGCGTCCCTTGATGAACTTCTGCAAGATACTTTTAGTGATTTATCAAAAAATTTGAACGTAATCCACATAAACGCGCAAAGTATCCCGGCACATTATACTGAATTATATACTTATTTAGTCAATAATAATATTCATGCGATTTTAGTTTCTGAGACTTGGCTACATCCTTCTGTTCCTTCTTCTTCTTACTCGCTTCCAGGTTATCATTTGATTCGTAACGACCGTGGTAGCTCTTCTCATGGAGGGGTAGCAATTTATCTCCGCTCCTATCTCTCTTTCACTGTATTAAGTCAATCATCTCAACCTCCTCCGCAGGATACTGCTGAACATCTCTTCATTGAGGTCAACTTAGTTCACAATAAGGTTCTTCTAGGTGTTTTATACAGCCCATCTTCTAAAATTGATTATTTCCATTCCTTCGAGCTTCTCCTTGAAGATTTTTCTCATAATTATACTCATTCAATTATAATGGGCGACTTCAACACCTGTTTGATAAAAAATGATTCCCGATGCAAAGAGTTACGTTCAGTAATTAATTCTTGTAATATGCATATTCTTCCTCTCTCTGCGACGCATAAATTTCCAAACTGCACCCCTTCTCTGCTAGACCTTATAATGGTATCATCTTCCGACCATGTTGTAAAACATGGTCAATTACCTGCTTATCAGTTTTCTTATCACGATTTAATTTATTTGTCGTATCGAATCCGTCCCCCTAAACGTAAGGCGTCAATCCAACTATTGCGTAATTTCAGTGCCATGGATATTGATATTCTGCGAGAAGATGCTCGTAAAGTTAATTGGTCGGCAATTGATGATCTCAATACCATTGACGAACAAATAGAGCTATTTAATTTCTTACTCATACGTCTAATGGATATTCACGCTCCCGTGCAGCCTGTACGCATCAAGCATGTTCCTGCTCCTTGGCTTACGGAGGACATACGCACAATAATTGAAAAAAAGACCCGCGCAAAAACTAAATTTAAAAAGAATCCAACGGATGCCAATCGTGCCAGATATAAGGAAATAAGGAATCGCTGCAATACATTGATCAGGAATAAACAAAGACGCCACATTCATAGGTCTGTAGAAAATGGTGACACCGCCAAAGTTTGGCGCTTTCTCAATAAGCTTGGTATTGGCAAATCTAAACGCAACTCTACCTCTGCTTCAAATAGTGATATCAATGCTTTAAATGCTCACTTTTCCTTATCTACTTCCATGGATGGAATAATCAAAAATCACACTTTGAATACGCTTTCTTCTTCGCCAACACCATCTTTCACTCCTTTTTTCATAAAACAATTTACCGAGTGTGACATTGAGAAAAATATCATTGCTGTATCGTCCAATGCCATCGGTAGCGATTGCATTAGTCGTAATATGATCATTCCTCTACTAGATATCCTCACTCCTGTAATTACGAAAATCCTTAATAAATCCATATCGTCATCTGTTT